GTGTGTGTGTGTGTGTGTGTGTGTGTGTGTGTGTGTGTGTCTGTGTTGTAGTATTTTAAGGAGTGAGCAACAAAGGGTTAATTTTCTAAGCATTAAACTCTTCCAAGAAGTAATTGTTTGTTTGTTTACAGGCAGGGACATGGGGTGATAATTTTGGGAGGGTGTTTGGGAACTGATGGCTTTAGGAGGAAGATACGTTGAACTGAATATATCTGCTTCTGCAGATAAAGCTGCTCACAGATTGCAGCATGTGAACTCCTCTTCCTCAGCAGTGGCAGGCTGCGGTCAGAGTGAAGGTGGTAAGCAATCGAGACAAGGGTCAGTGGAAACTGCGTTCAAACTGACAAATGAAGAACAGGAGAGGGCCGGCCACTCCTGACAGAAGAGCCAGTTCTGGTGGGTGGAAATGCTGCCTGGAAAACAGCTGAGCAGTGCAGGAATAAGCAGGTCTCTCTCCTGCTTTCAAACACCCAAAGACAAAAGGCTTTTACGCCATTTGAGAAAGTACTGACAGAAAACTAGGTGCTGTTTATTTACCTGGAAGTTGTTTTTCTAGTGCCTTAAAGGGTCAGCTGTGCTTTGGAAGGTAGCAGTTTGCAGGAGTGAACTGATTCCTGGCAATGTGCTTAACTAGAGGCCAAAGCTCAGGCAAATCTCTTTCCAGGGTACCTTCAATGTAAGTCTTTTAACTGCCCTCTTTAAAGGAACTCAATCCTCCCAGAGTCATTCTCCACTGAAAGCTGCACTCAAATATGGTCTCTTCGCAGCCTCTTCATCTAACAGAATTTTAGAGAATAGATGTCCACCAATTCTGCTATATTTGTGCCGGAAAGGATATGGAATAAATGATGTTCTAGGTACTTTCATTTGAGTTGCATGTAGAAGGCTTGAAGCTTGTGCTGAAGGGCAGTTTTCGATGGTTCAAGTTAAAAATTCAGCGTATTATGGTGTAAGTATGATTAATAATCTCTTTTCGTACTGTTTGTTGCATATTCTGTGCAGGTAAATTTTGTGCAAATTACAGGTATAGGAATAAAAATATGTGGCATTTTTGGTGGTTATTATTGTTCAGTGGAGTGCAAATATTTGGATATCTGGCTGCTTTAAAAAATACAGTGCTAGTGATTGTTGCCATGTGGTCATGATGAGATGATTTAAGCACAGATGTTATTTCTAAGAATTACCATTGAAAAAAAATTGTTTTCTTTTTATTTTTTAGATTATTTCTCTTTATTCAGAAGCATAAAGTTGTTTGCTGATTGCAAGAAGATGTTTCTTTGGCTCTTTCTGATTGTGTCAGCCCTGCTTTCTTCGACAAACGCAGATTCTACCATATCGGTGGAAATTTGCAATGTGTGCTCCTGCGTGTCAGTTGAGAATGTGCTCTATGTGAACTGTGAGAAGGTGTCAGTCTACAGGCCAAATCAACTGAAACCACCTTGGTCTAATTTTTATCATCTCAATTTCCAAAACAATTTTTTGAATATCCTCTATCCAAACACATTCTTGAATTTTTCTCATGCTGTATCTCTGCATCTGGGAAATAATAAACTGCAGAACATTGAGGGAGGAGCCTTTCTCGGGCTCAGTGCATTAAAGCAGTTGCACTTGAACAACAATGAATTAAAGATTCTCCGAGCTGACACTTTCCTTGGAATAGAGAACTTGGAGTATCTCCAGGCTGACTACAATTTAATCAAGTATATTGAACGAGGAGCCTTCAATAAGCTTCACAAACTGAAAGTTCTCATTCTTAATGACAATCTGATTTCATTCCTTCCTGATAATATTTTTCGATTCGCATCTTTGACCCATCTGGATATACGGGGGAACAGAATCCAGAAGCTCCCCTATATTGGAGTTCTGGAACACATTGGCCGTGTGGTTGAATTGCAGCTGGAAGATAACCCTTGGAACTGTAGCTGTGATTTGTTGCCACTCAAGGCTTGGTTGGAGAATATGCCCTATAACATTTACATAGGAGAAGCTATCTGTGAAACTCCCAGCGACTTATATGGAAGGCTTTTAAAAGAAACCAACAAGCAAGAATTATGTCCCATGGGCACAGGCAGTGACTTTGATGTACGAATTCTGCCTCCATCTCAGCTGGAAAATGGCTACACTACTCCCAATGGTCACACTACTCAAACATCCTTGCACAGATTAGTGACCAAACCACCCAAAACGACAAATCCATCCAAAATTTCTGGAATTGTGGCAGGCAAAGCTCTTTCCAGCCGCAATCTCAGTCAGATTGTGTCTTACCAAACAAGAGTGCCTCCTCTTACACCTTGCCCGGCACCTTGCTTTTGCAAAACACATCCTTCTGATTTGGGACTGAGTGTGAATTGCCAGGAGAAAAACATACAGTCCATGTCTGAGCTAATTCCCAAACCTTTAAATGCGAAGAAGTTGCATGTGAATGGCAACAGCATCAAAGATGTGGACGTCTCGGACTTCACCGAGTTCGAAGGACTGGATTTGCTTCATCTAGGCAGCAATCAGATTACAGTGATCAAAGGAGAAGTGTTTCACAATCTTACCAATTTACGCAGGCTTTACCTCAATGGCAATCAGATTGAAAGACTGTACCCTGAAATATTTTCAGGCCTTCATAACCTTCAGTATCTGTATTTGGAATACAATTTGATTAAGGAAATTTTAGCAGGCACCTTTGACTCTATGCCCAATTTGCAGTTACTGTACTTAAACAATAATCTCTTGAAGAGCCTGCCTGTTTACATTTTTTCTGGAGCACCTCTTGCTAGACTGAACTTGAGGAACAACAAATTCATGTACCTACCTGTTAGTGGGGTCCTTGATCAGCTACAGTCTCTTACACAAATTGATTTGGAGGGCAACCCTTGGGACTGCACTTGTGACCTGGTGGCATTAAAGCTGTGGCTGGAGAAGTTGAATGATGGAATTGTTGTGAAAGAATTGAAATGTGAGACCCCTGTTCAGTTTGCCAACATTGAACTGAAGTCCCTCAAAAATGAAATCTTATGTCCCAAACTTTTAAACAAGCCATCAGCGCCATTCACTAGCCCAGCACCTTCAATTACCTTCACCACTCCACTGGGTCCCATTCGAAGTCCTCCTGGGGGCCCAGTGCCTCTATCTATTTTAATCTTAAGTATCTTAGTCGTCCTCATTTTAACTGTGTTTGTTGCATTCTGCCTTCTTGTTTTTGTGCTGCGACGCAACAAGAAACCCACCGTGAAGCATGAAGGTCTGGGGAATCCTGAGTGTGGCTCCATGCAGCTGCAGCTAAGGAAGCATGACCACAAAACAAACAAAAAGGATGGACTGAGCACAGAAGCATTCATTCCACAGACCATAGAACAGATGAGCAAGACCCACACCTGTGGTCTGAAAGACTCTGAAACTGGTTTCATGTTTTCAGATCCTCCGGGACAAAAAGTCATGATGAGAAATGCTGCGGACAAGGAGAAAGATTTATTGCACGTGGATACCAGGAAGAGATTGAGCACAATTGATGAGCTGGATGAATTATTCCCTAGCAGGGATTCCAATGTGTTTATTCAGAATTTTCTTGAAAGCAAAAAGGAGTATAATAGCATAGGTGTCAGCGGCTTTGAGATTCGCTATCCAGAGAAACAGCAAGATAAAAAAAACAAGAAATCATTGATAGGTGGCAACCATAGTAAAATTGTCGTGGAACAAAGGAAGAGTGAGTATTTTGAACTGAAGGCAAAACTTCAGAGTTCCCCTGACTACCTACAGGTCCTTGAGGAGCAAACAGCTTTGAACAAGATATAGTTCATGCAGTCTGACTTCATACAGAGGACATTATTTAATGATGAAAGTGCCTTTTGTTGACTTGTAACGTCCAAATACTATATTATCAATAGGCATAGAGGCAGGTGTTTCCAAGGGTATCTAATTAACTGTAGCTGTAAAGATGTGTCAAGTAGAAGAGAATTTCCTTAATAGATTTTACTATATAAAACCTATACTGTGGAGTCCTGTGGGGATACTGCAAACTCTATTGCCAAAGGGATGCTTTATAAACATAATACACTGAATTTAACCTCAAGAGGCAAATCCGTTTTGTACCCCAATGCAAAACCTTCATCTCTTTGTGCTTTGTGAAGCAAACTCAAGAAAACTGGTACCAGTGTTTGTACCTTGGCTGGGTCCTTCATCTTGCACGTAGATTAAGTTGGTGGAACTGAAATAACCCTTTTGATTTGTGGCATTGTAACAACTCTGTAAAGATTACCTGAAACGTGTAAAAAAAAAAGCATGCAAAGAGAGAACATTTGATAGTATTTGTAAATCGGTAAACTTTATGGCCTGCATCTTGAAACCACTGGATTTATAATGTTAAATTGTGCAAATACTTGTTTAAAAATACCATGCATTACATAACTATAAAATAAATTTGAACACTCTTACGTATTACCTGTCTATATATAAAAACCTAAAGGAGAAAAAAAGTCAGTGTGAGTTACATAGTGTTTTTGGTGATCTGGAGAAAAACATGATGTTTATCAGAATGAAATATGGCTCAAATTAAACTACCGTTTGTTCTCAATTACGTGAAAAACCCACAATCCTTAAAGGTTGTCCAAAATTAGCAAAGTGCTTACCGTGTGAGCGCACCCAAAGCTATTTTTGTAACATAATTCATATTTATGAAGTACTTTCTATACTAAATAAGAAAACATGTACTCCTTAATATGTATTTAATATACCTGACTTATTTTCCTGATCACAGCAAATTCATCAGAAAGTATAAATTTAGATAAGAAAAAACTACTAAAATGAGACGGAAGCTAATGTGCACAGAAATATTTTGGACTCTGTGATCAGGTATAATTTAAAAACAGAAAAAAAATCAAAAAAGAAGCAAAAATAAAAAAAGCAGTTCTGTACCATTCTTGTGAATTTAGCATATTATCTTCAGATTTGTTGCCAACTGTGCATTTTAAAATAGGTTCCTTAGTTTTATAGTATTGTGTCCGGGGCAGTTGTTATTTGCCATCAGTTGTTATGCTTTTCAGGATTCTATGAGCTTAATTAAAATAGTTTAACTACAAGTATTTAACAAATTAATGACTAAGGTTAATAGTATCTTGTATGCATCAGTTTCCTGTTGTTCCATCATTCCGATTGCTATCAGTTAGTCTAGTAGACCTGTAAACATCATGGCAATTTTGGCTACTTAAACCACACTGTAAAATGCTTGCACTGGTCTCAGATGAGTTGGTATACAGCTACAAACGATGTGCCCCTGTGTCTGCTTATGCTGTTGTTCCTGGTCAAAATTGAACAAATGAATGAAGTGTTTGATAATGGGTGATATTTGCAGATTTTTAGGAGCTCTAATTAGCAAAGTGGTATGCAGAATCTCATTTCCTTCTTGATGAGTGTGTGTGTGTGTGTGTGTGTGTGTGTGTGAGAGAGAGAGAGAGAGAGAGAGAGAGAGAGAGAGAGATTGTGTGTGTGTGAGAGAGAGAGATTGTGTGTGTGTGTGTGTGTGTGTGTGTGTGTGTGTGTTTGATGAATGACAGTATTTATCAGCAGCTCAGGCAAGAGAGTAAGCAGACATTCTTCATGAATTTCAAATGGCAGGTGTTTTGGTGTGGCTTCTAAAGTGATGTTAGGGTTAAAGTTGTAATAGCAATTCCTCTATTAAATACTAACTTCAAGAGTGTGTGTTTGTTCCAAAATTTAAAAAAAAAGAAAACTTGACATTATTGGAGGAGAGTATTTTTCTGTTTTTTTTTTGCTGTTGTTTTTGTTTCGTGTTTGTGTGTGTGTGTGTGTGTGTGTGTGTGTGTGTATGTGTGTGTGTCTGTGTGTGCGTTTGTGTGCATGCATGTATGTGTTTGCGTATATATTCACACATATAGATAATTTGGAGATTTTTTTTAATAGTGAACAAAATCTCCATATGTATGTGCTGGTGCTCTTAAAACTTTAATGTGTAATTTTAATTTTCAGACAATGTCTGTGGAATCTTTATATGAATATAAATATATCCAAACAAACTATTGCTTTCTGATCTTGAAAGAAAAGACAAGATGTGTGCTCAAACACTTATTTTCATCAACGGTTTCATAAGGACTTTCAATATGCCATTACCGTGCACGCATGCATCCATGGATTAAAGGGCTCCTAATGCATACTGACAGGATAAAGACGCAAAGGCTTCCAAGAAAGTGTTTTAGTTTATCCCGTCAATAAAGTATGGATTGAGGAATCTTAAATGGACACTCCTGGGAAGAATCAGAAAGCTCTATCCATGATCTGGAGCTAATAGGTCATTGGGATGATGCCTTTTTATTCAGTGTGGTGATGTTTGGAAGACGTTTCAAGGTTTCTAAAGAACTGCCAATGGCAAGAGTACCTGCCACCATCTCAAAGCTTGCTGTAGTATATTGGCTATCTCATACTCTTTGGCCGAAAGCTATAAATGTTCAAAAATTTTAAGAAAACAGTAATTTAATTGTGATTATTTGGAAATTTTTATTGTAAATGAAAGTAACAAAACCTTGGTTAAGGCTAATATATTTTCCTTAACTAAAGTCATTGTGCCTACATTATACAGTGTATGCTATTTTGCACCTGTCTTTCATTACTTCTTCTGGTATCTTTTTGATAATGTAGTTAGGCATAAGTTCTGAGTTGAGTACAAGACCACTTAAAATACTCTTATGTACATTTTGTTAGCTTCAACTATAACCTTGATGTTAGTTTAACCCCTTGAGGTATGATATGTACATCAGTACAGCTTTTTTTTTAGTAGACTTCGATTCAAATCTTGAAAACCCAAGAAGTGCTCATTTCTAATGTGGTGTGACACATCATAGGCTTCTTGGAATTATATTCTTGTGTATGGACTGTATTAGAGCAGTTGCAAAGAAAACTAGTATCTTATGAAATCAGTGAAGGGGTTGAGATAATATATTGTGTCTGTGTAACATAAATCAAGTTTTAAATTATTTTTTTATGAAATCAATAAAAATGATTCAATTCTTTAAAAGTAAATCTTTGTGTAATTTTATGAGAAAGCAGCTATTAAAGTATAGTGATTCAAGTATATAAGGCAATTTATATCCTATATTTAGTTTTCCATTCTAAACAACAATACTAGTAAATATATTAATTATAAAGTCACAAAAGACCATTATTCTTTTTGTTGCATTTCATGAACATTTAATTTTGAAAGCCATAAGGATGCATAAAGATTATAGGGCAAGGCCTCATGAGTATTGTCAGCAGGTATTTCAGAAATCAGAGAATAAATCTAGAAATAAATGGTGATAATATTAATATACAATATTGTTTGCATGACTTTTCCACTGACAGTGTAAGAAATGAGCAAAGTGACAGTTCTTTCTCCTTCCCTCCCTCCATCCCTCCCTCTCTCCCTCCCTCTCTTTCTCCATTTCTTTTTCTTTCTTCCTGTTATTGTTGCATCCAAAGACTTGGGAGACTATATTAAGAATGTATTTATAATTACTATTTTGGAATGAAGAGTATGCATATTGTTTTACCATGATTTGAGTCTTTTTTATTTTATATTAATTCATAAAAAAATCAAGTAATTCTATAAGATCTAATGTAAACTACAGAAAAGTACCATTTAATGAATTTTGCTTGTAATTACATCAAGATATCAGAATTTATTAAATGCCATTTTCTGAACATATTAATAAAATTGTTTGCTACAATGTTATTTCTGAAGTGACAGTTTGTTAAATATATTTATTTTTCAATTATTTTTCCTAAAAAAATAAAGCAGTATGCAAAGTGATTTTTATCACTCCAACTTGAGGGTAAGATATATAGCTTTAGAATACTTTTTGTGCCAAAATTTATTATTATGCCTCTGTTAAAAGACGTTTTCTTTACAAACATATTCACAATTTGTGTTCCTTTCTACTGGCAGCCCTTTTGGAGGAGACTCATCAGACAGTGCCAAGACCAACATGCTTTGATCCTTTCTCATTCTCACTAATCAGTTGGAATCTGATATAACTTAGAATAAGCAAATAGTATCAATCATCGTTATCAATCCAAATACATTTAGAAAAACTTCAGAACCTCTACATCCCATAATAAGCTTTACTGGTTTCTGGTTAGTTTTTCACTTAATAGGGTGAAATTCTATTTTTAACTTAGTTTCTTTCAAGGTAACCAAAAATATCAGTTGATCATTGATGCATTTACTGTGGTTGAAAACTCTGAAACAATTGCATTATAGCTAAATTGAGAGCAGAGAAAAGTGTCAACAGACTGCAGTGGCCAATAAGTGGGTTTTACACTATGTGTCCTTAAGTGAAGCAAATACAGAAAATTCTGTGGGGTTTTTGTCTGTAGATAAACTGTGCTGAAAGCTTGCACAGCATAGAGGAATAGCACATACAGATACTTTTGGCCTAGATGGCTTCGTGTATTACGGGTGATGAAGTTCTTTATGAATATTGAGCACAGAACCTTGGGTTTAAGCTACTCTGTTATGTAGACAAATAGAATCAAAGCAAAGGCCAGCCTCATTTTCAGTGCTCATTGAAATAGTTGCTAGTCAATGAGCTAAACTATTTGTTGTCTCACTTATTTGGAATAAGTACACACATACACACACACACATGTGTGTGTGTGTTCAAGTTTAACTGACAGCTGTTATTCTTAATTTCATATTTATTGGCGATCTGTTTTGTTAAATGAAAACCAAATGAGAGCTCAAATACTAGATTTTAATAACTTATTTTATATAAAAATGCGTAGTGTAAATTTCAATTTCTTTTTTTTTTTTCATCTTATTCATTCTTACTTATTTTCCTCTGAGTGATAGGACAGATTGAAGAAGGGAAATTTAAAGAAAGGGAAGTATTTGTAGTCCCTTACATATAAAAAAAGATAATTTTCTAAAACATTGTGTAAATTAGTTTTAGTTTGTTGTTCTCGGGTCTACACTGAGGCGTCTGAAGCACTTGAATACTTTGGGTCAAAATACGGGATGGAATTTAAAACATTCAAACTCCACATTTCATTATAATTTATAAGATAGACTGACAATAGGACCTCATACTAAGAGAAAGCTATTGAATATTTCACTCCAGTTTATATTTGTAGATACTGCCAGTATAGAAACACAAATTGTAGTCATTTAATATTTTAATAAAAAATTCTTGTTTAAAAAGTTCATGAATGAGTCTTTAGAGAAAGAATGTGTGTAATGAATAAAGTCCATTATTAACTTTAAATTAGCTATAGAGACACGACAGTGCTAGAGTGCAAGAACAAATGTATTTCTCTTAGTTGGCAAATTACAAAAAGATCATGTCAGATGCTACTGATAAGCGTGCTAAGTAGGCCATGTTGTGAAATGGATATTAATTATGGAAACCTTTAAAGATCGCAGTAAGCATTGTTCTCCCTACTTATGACTGCAATGTATATATCCATCATTGTTTTATGTAAACTGAATCATTGTGTTAAATTCTGTAGTTGGTATGGAGTAACTTTAATGCTGTTTTCCTGAATAAAAGTCCTTTCTTATAGGTCATATGTGTAGCCATTCAGTGTTTTTATTAGTGTAATATTAGGGAAGCTCAAGTTCAAAAACAAAACAAACAAAAAAAGAAATTCAAGCAATCTGATATTTATTTGCTGTATTTATTCTGTTTACATAAATAGGGAAGGTCTACCTTCACATACATACAAATGGGAAATATTACATATGAACACTGAATGATAAACAAAGGCAAATTTCTAGTTGTTAAACCCTGAAATGCTTCTCAATATCCGCTTATACTGTTTATATGAAAAAAAGCTCTTTCATCCGCAATGATAAATGCCTTGCGTTTCGTTTTTATTTTAAACTGAAAGATGACCACTATGTACTATTTAGTAGAAATTGGACCCAGTTTATCTCAATAAATATGACTTCCTTGGGATTCAATTTTGTAACTATGATGTGATTTGGTTTTTACTTTTCATCATTCACTAAATTTATCATTTGGCTCCTCATCATGTATGCTTACTAAATGAAGAGTGTCCTATGCTGTTCATAGGCAACCAGCTGTGGTACAAACTAAGGCTGCTAGGACATTTTACCATCATGCTCAAAGAACCATATAGAGCTACATATAAACAAAATAAGGAAGCCCAGGGTGAGGTATATAATTAGAAATTACTGAAACATTGAAGCCTGTCTTATTTACTTCTTTATTTTTTATTATTTTTATTTATGGAAATGTCATACATGAGTATTACTATTTAGGTAATTTTCATCCCCCTCTCCCCTCTCCAACTCCTCCCTGAACTGATATATTACACACACGATAGTCTTTTTAGAAGAAAAAACAGTGGTAACTTATGACTAGAGGCTAGGCAGAATAATAATGTCAAAGGAGAATTTGCAGGAAAAAAAATCTTCTCAGATAAACACCAATTGCTGAAAAGAACATTATGAAAACTATACGTCAATTATTAGACTTCTTCTTTTTCTTAAACTATGCTTTGTCTCTTTTAAGTGAATAGGCAATTCAGGAGGTGCCAACACAGCCCTAGTAATGCAGTATTATTTTTTCAAACTTCGCTTGTAAAATATAATACCAAATTATCTTTTGCACTCCTTGGATTGTTTTCCTTTGTTGACAGTTGTTATGGGTTGAATGCGTGTCTGAGTTTCTGATTTGGTATTACGTGTTACAAAAATGATATTTGTATATAGACCATACATTTTACATATGGAAAATATTTTAGGTAACAAAATTTATCATAACCATTTCTGTTCTAATATTGTTATAAAATGTTGACAGGCCTTCTGATTTCTTTTCAGAAATTTTAGTTCAGTAAAAATTATCAAGTGCCTATTTCAGAAGCCATTTCCTGCACGAAGCCCCAGGAAATCATGTATCTGCCATGATCCCTTTGCTCCATAGCAGGATATACCATCTTTGCCAAGTCCTCCCTGCTGGAAATTCTTCTCTGCTGTTTTGAAGAGCCAGTCCTAGCTACAGCACAGGCTATCTTATCAAGATTTTTTTTTCATTGTTGGCTTGTGGCAATACACACACAAACATAGTGTTCTAAGGGCAAGTATGTGTTCACCAGCATAACAGTGTGACACTCGAGAGCATTTCAGTTTTGCCTATTTTTCATATTACATCTTTTTGTTCATAAGGTACCCTCCAGCCCACAGATGCTACTAAATGCTTTATTTATCACTCTCCTTCGAAGTGGAAATTCCTCTCCATCCTGGAAACTCACAGTTATTTAGAGAAAAAATCCTCACACTCTGCTTTTCCCATTCCAATCTGTAAGTTCTAGAAATATGAAAATGTAGTGCAGTAAATGATGGACTTAAAAACAAGTCTTTATGACATAAAAATTATTGTAGAGAAACAGAATTCATTATCAGAATAAAAGGCAACTTTTATTGCAAGATATTTCTCATGTTTCAGATTCCCTTGCAATGTAATTAGAATTCACTGGTTTAGTTTGTAAATCAGAACCAAGAAATCACTTTTCACTCTGGACTCCGTGCAATAACTACAAAAGTGCATTATTGCTGACATGTTGGTAAGGTTCACCATGAGTTGCCATAAACATGGCTGTTATTTTCTCTTTGCACTCTTTACTTCAGAAAATATTCATTTTTCTCTAATTTGGCACAGCTGCAGAAATGCTGCTGTGTCAGTTCCCACCATGAAAATTCACAAAACCTGATTTTCAATATGTAACTAAGCAGTTACGCACACATGTGTATTAGAAACTGGATAAAGCTATCAGGATTAAGAAGAAAACTGGTGTGTCCTTACAAAAAGAAGGTTTTATGAAGAATCAAAATGTAAGCATTTAATTAAAATTACATCTAGGTTCACGACCTTCCTTTGAACTTGTCAACTTCCCTTTAGACTTCATTGTGTGTAGTGCGTGGCACACAGGCTCTGCTTATAGCTGGCATTCATGCTCTCTGTTCACTCTTTCAGGGAGCCTACTGTGTGCCAGTGTAGATTATGTGATCATTGATCCGATTATTTAATCCCACATGCATGTATAAATTTCAGCTGGATATTTGAGTAGAAATGTTCTAGAAAAGGGAGGTGTTTCGCATGATTTTCTTACCATACGTGGGTAAAACTACACTAAATGCTCTTTGTATCAGGATACTCTTTATAAGAATGAGTTTAATGGAGTTGTTGGTGAATAATAATTTCCCATGCATAAAGGCATTCCAAGGAATGGGGGTATACATGCACACTGCCTTTCCAGGTCAGATCATTTGCTCCCCATCGCTTCTCTTTTCAGAAAGCAAGAAAGGCTTGAGAGTGAGCATGATTTACCTGAGGTCACATAATCTTTTACTGCCAGTCTGTTCTAGGATCTGATTCTCATAACTCACAGGAGAATAGTATTTACATTACACTCTTGTATTTGGAAGTTCCAGGGAGGACAATGACAAAAATATGGTTGAGGCTATAGGCGACAATTCACTAAACCATAAGAATATTTTCTTGCTTCAGGGGGAGCCTGTAACTAGAAAGAAATAGTTATGGTGAATAGGCATTTTGATTTTGTTTTATTTTGATTTGTTTTATTTTTCATTTTTAATTGAATATTTGTGTATTTTATACAAAATATCTTAATTTTCTTTATACCTCCTCCTCAATGCACAACCTCCCATAGCCCACCCAACAGAGTTCACGTGCCCAAAGTGAAAATGGT